TTTTCTGAAGTTCTGAACAACATTTCTCTCATGGTCCCTTATTGAGGTCACCACACAGCTGAAGGTTTTCACTACTGCCATTTTTATGATGCTGTTTCTCGGAAGAAGATTTTCCCGAACGAGATGGGCCGCTATTCTGCTTCTTTTCTTTGGCGTTGCCGCCGTTCAGGTGACTGATATTTCGATCAAAAGCATTTTATAGTGGTTTGCTTATTCCTCACATCTCTCAACCAATTTCTTTTCCAGCTCAACAATGCTCAGGACACTAATCAGGAGAAAAAAGGAAATTATTTCATAGGAATTTCAGCGGTTCTGGCTACGTGCGTCACAGCTGGGTTTGCCGGTTAGTCATATTCCAGAAACAAATTTTGTATTCATTTTCGTTTAATTAGCATTGGCTGTTTCGAATATACACTTTAAATTAAATCGAAAATGTAAACTTTACATTCTGAACGATTCGGTTGATTAAATTCGGTTGAATAATTGGGTGCCATGAACAGCTTAAAATGCATGCAGTTTCCGGGATTCCATTTTAATTCCCAATGTTTAAATACAGCACATTGCTTGCATAGGCTTAAAAATAGTAGCCTAAACGCGGGAGCTCCCTTGAAGTTGCGTTGTGTTTCATATAAAATGTAGAGACATGCTCAGCTATGTATCTATTCCTCTTTCGTTCCCATTTTAAATTGTAGTAATTCAATTGTTTTACAATTGACATTGTAAAACACCTCAAGAATTTCTGTTTAAATGATTATCATAACGACTTATTCTATCATTAAATGACAAGGGTGGCTTTTAAGCTAGGGATGATCGCTAGAGAAGTTTTTGTAATGCCTATTCCTTCGAGGTTTGAATGAGGCCCATATTATGTAGTAAAATTTGCTGCAGCACAGCTCCCTCATCGGTACTACTTGTATTATGGTGGCTGAACTACATTTTCATTTTCAGGTGTGTACTTTGAAATGATGCTGAAAGGAAGTGGCACAACTCCGTTTTGGGTGCGAAATCTTCAAATGTACAGTTGTGGCATAGTATGTTTCGTTCTGTTACCTTACTGTTTCCATTCTTTTTTCCCTATTCTCGTAAGTGGTCATGCCATAGAATCCTGGTATCTAATAAAAAATGTTCAGGTAAGCGCACTCGTTGGTTGCCTATTTTCTGAAGGAGATCTGATAGCCGAACGAGGCTTCTTTTACGGGTACGACATAAAAGTGTGCGCCATTGTTGGTTAGTCCTTTCTTTGCAGATCTCTTGAAGGTTGCTTATTTTTTAAGCTGTAAACCCAATCACCGCACCTTTCTTCATTGAATTATCTCGCCGGACAGATATTCGACATGAAATCCTTGGGGGATGGGTTGTACGTATATTAGGTGATAGTTGTGCTGCTCTACATTTATAAAAATGTTTTTCTGGGATCTGTTGTTTGCACCGTCTATACCAAAGCTACATATGTTGTTTGCGATGATTGAAAAGAAAAACTTATGAGGGTAAAAACACTGAAAATTTTGCGTAGGTATTTAGAGTTATTTGGGGTTTCATCACATTTTTAAATGATGAGCACACTGAAGTGCGTTATAAGAAGGAATGCGACATAAACTCGAAGCACCCCACCGAGCGTTGAACGATAAACCGATTGTTACTGCCCAGCAGAGGCGATACGTGATGTACATTTTACACTAATTTGTTTACATTGGTCTCCCTTCCCAAACCGCCTGGGTTAGCTGCTCCACCTAGCAACATCATGAGATAACAAGAATGCTCTTACTTCACTGCCCTTCACATATCCATGCTGTTTTAGAAAACTCAAATAATTTCAGGATTTTTGTCTGTTGGCGGCACTTATATTTCGCTCGTAATGAAATATCTGGACAATCTTCACAAGAGTTTTGCTTCCGCAGTTTCTATCATTCTAGTTGTTATCACATCTTTCCTTCTTTTCAATGATGTCTTCATAGGTGCCTACTTTGTAGGTGGTACTGCTATTGTTGTGTTTGCCATACTGCTTTACAATTCTGTCCCAGAATAGGGGCATAGGACATTCTTTTTTGTAAACCCAAGCCCTAGCTTTCATTAAGGGTTTTTGAATGAGATCAATACCTACTTATTATAAATCCCTTTGCCTATTTCACATTTACGGGATTGCTCGTTTGCGTCCTATGAATGAGCATTAAGCTTTGGTCTCTGAGTTAGAGTTTCCTATTTAAGAACGAGTGAAAAATTTGAGGGAACCGAATTTTTACCATAGCCCTTTCCTTGCTGCCTACCGTTCCTTTCACAGTACTATTTGTCGTTTCACGACAATTCGCGACTAGTGGTAGCACAAGGCGGCAGCTAGGACCATTACGGTAGGAATTTGGGTCGTTAGTGACTTTTCATTGTTGTAGCCTACTTAATAATATGTGTGCATTGTGATTTTCATAACCAAATGAGAAGATACTTCGCTCAATTCCTCATAGATGACTATTAAACGAGCGAAAGTACAAATAGTCGTGTAATTTAATGATGACTTGCCTTGATCTGCTTTCCATGTTGACTGTTCATTATTCACGAGGTGTGGCTGTGTGTCTTACACATATTGATGATCTGTCTTCGATTTGATTGTGTCCATCATGTAGTCCATAGCATTTTTCTTCAATTTTTGTTCGTAATCTCCCATATTGATTGATTGTCTCTAAGTCGAAAAACTTAAGTCAAATTCTCCGGTTATGGCTGAATGTCAAACTACGTAATGTTCTTATAGGAGAAAGCTACTTACTTGTTATCCTGCTTTGTTTATGTGCAAGTTTTCGATTTCTGCAATTAATATCTTACGATGAAAAATGATGTACAGTTTTAATGATCGGATACGAGAAAATTTGAAGGTTTGGATAACCTTATTGTATAATATTTACAGGTTTATTCGTCTAGGGTTCAATTTACTGACGGTATGTCTGTCCAAATTAGGTGGGCTTGATAAGCGGTACGGGAAGAGCAAGAATGCAGGGCCAATCGATTATTGGCCATCGAACTACTGGTGCGCCGCTATGGCTATTTTACCAGTCTGCTGTTAATAAGATACCCATTCACTACGTTTGATTACGTTTTACGATTCTTTCATCCGGTGACATATTGGGAAGCTCTAGGTCTGGCCAACAAAAGTGGATCGAAGTTCGCACTGACTATGGCTCATCGCTTTCCCTTCCACCCCTTTTTTCCGCCACCCCGAAGACAGGCTACCACCTGTACTGTTCTCTGACATAACTCAGAGCAGATTTAAGCTGAAGATGGGTTAAGGACGTCGAGCTGGACGACGTTATTTCGGCGCCGCGTCAGCGATGGTGCTTCGAACCCGCAGCGACAAGGAGCCGTTGAGATTGTAATACACTTTTTCAGAAAAGAATGAAAATATGTGAAAAACAAGTGAAATCGAAGAAATCATCCGTTTTCATAACAGCTCAGGTTACATTTGTTGGACGATAACATTTTTGGGTAGGACGTTCTGCTGGGCATCTTGAGGGGGTAGCACCAATTTAATAATAGTCTGGCGGCTTATTTCAATTGGGAAGGTAGAAGTACCACACGGACGCAGAGGAGGTGAACCGAGGAATACTGCTCAAGTATAGGGTTATCTTCTCCGGTATATGCATATTTACAGGCTCTATCAATCTCGACCTCGTAAGTGTTCAAGAAGAGTTTACTAATAGTCATACACAAAGGTTTTCGCTGTCAAAATCAAGAACAACTGACAGCTCAATGAAGAATTTAAGTGATAGAGGTGGGTAGTAGATGGTTCAAAAGATGATCTATAGTTTTGTAGATTTGTAACAAGTTTATATATCGAACAGATATATGGTTACCAAGGGAAATCATGAGTTACTGAGGTGGATAGGAGGTGTTGGTTGGTGAATCGATATCCCTTGGATAAGTATGATCATGATACAAAACGGGATCCTTCAACAATGGCAACGGCAGCTGTCATGAAAAACCAACAATCCGATGGATTTCGCCCATATTATGCTGAGCCATCGATCGCGCTCTTTTTATTCGTTCCCAAAGCATATTTTATCGATCTGCAGTTGAGAAGAGATACAGTCACTGGAAATGGATCATAAATTTCTGATGGGCAATAACCTCCCGTCCCCTTTTCATCGTCAGGAATCTATTTCACAGGTAAGAGGTGCTTGGGTACAGCTTGTGACAGCTCTTCTTCCAACTTAGTTGGTTCCTGCTGTTTTTACGTACGGATAAGATAGTTGCAACCGATACGCCACAACTGAGATCACTCTAGAAAACTCGGGAATTCAATATGTTGACGATCTGATGCGCGTGTGCTCTATGCTTCTCCTACCAGAATGTTTGTTGCTATTGTGTGTTTGGATCTGAGCCAGGGCGCAACCAGTTCGACATCGCTGACAGCTTTTCAGCAACCTCCATGTTCATCTTTCTTGAAACTTGAGCATTTGTTGCCTGAAAAGAATCCATCATTATGATACGGGAAATAAAAAGTTTATTTATTCGCATTTGATTGCATGTATGGGCTTCTGGAAAGCGGTCGTTGATCGCTATCGACTGCTGAGTCATTTAACCTTCTAGTTCGTAGCATAGAGCTACAATCAGCGTAGCTTAGTAGCTATACAGAGGCAGAATCAGGCTGCTCGGTGTCTAAATTTGTTTTGGCTTGAAGTGATTTCCTCTTCCCATTAGACACAACAGTCAACAACTAAAAAGTTCGAAAAAAATTTAACAAAAATCTTTCTATCGCCTCATTAGTGGTTATTCACTATACCATTGATCAGACACTTGAACAATAAGTTGAAGAGCCAATAAAAACTTTTCCGCTCAATCTTCGAGCTTTATCGCTTTGCTATAACTGGGACGAAGTTCAAAAGTAAATCATTTTACATTCTTACAACTTACTGTTCGTAGAACAGGCTCTAGATGGTGTGGTGAGACAGAACAGAATGGCCAAAAGGAGCTTCATGTTGAAGACGTCCGTTATGGCCTACCTAACCGCAGGTCTGCTTTGACAATAGATCTTTAGTGAAAAGACGTTAAATATGTTATCCATGACTTTCTTCATCAACGCGACCCACGAAATCATTTGTACAGCTAAAACTCGCCTTTCAAACAACCCATTGAATGATGAAGTAGTCTTACTGACTAAACGTGCTAATAATAATTCATGTAAGGTGCACCTCCCCAGAACGGTGACTGAATGGGAGATTTGATGATGGATACGGTGGTTCAACAGAGAGCCTTTTTAAAATGAAATCCTACTCAACAATCCACTAGAACTCGTATCAGGAATGTCGTTTCGTCCCACTGGATTAGAGTTGAAGAAAGCGAAATGTTCCTCCTAGCCCGAGGTCAGGAAGTGCAATCTCACCAGGTGTGAATGTTCTTCTTGGCCCATACCTCGCAGCAGTCAGTTAGTACAAGTCATGCTTCGAGAAGGAGGGATCATAGGGCAGAATCACTGAGGCAAACCAGAAAAAATCGGGGGTGGGAGGTCGATTCGGGCTACTACTATGATATTCTGCTCTCTTATCGTCGACTGTTTTTCAGCAGCTGGGGCTCAAATTACAGAATAGTACTGTACTGGAATATATCCTCCTAGATTGCATTACATATGGGAAAGGGTAAAGGTGGTAGCTGGGTTGTCAATAAAGGCGGGAAAAGAGGTGCGCGGGGCGGCTCGGTTGCGCGGTTTCCTGAACGGCCCAAAAATAGACCGATTTTTTTTTCAAATTTATGTATTATTTATGTGAGTTTTTTCTTCAAATTGAAGTCGCGCCTGTTTATGTAATGTTTTGTTTTATGTACGTGTTATAACTGCTTTTGTTCATGACTGATCTCATGAACTTTTTATTACCGTTTGTCGACTTAGCAGTGGTATTGAACACCTTTGCTTTTTTTCCGACAACATAAGGCAATCCTGAACTCATCGATCGTGCATGTCAAATATTTTGAAAGAATGGGTAGAATAATAGGTGATTCCTATTCATTTCTTTCAGAAAATGGTCGTGTCCATTCATTCAAGCGGCTGTTTTCGAGAAAAACCCATTCAGAGTGCTGCCTACTATCAAAAGTAAGTTCATGCTACGATCACCACTCAACTCATTGAAAGTTTCACAGCCTTCTTTTTTGATTAGGTGATTTCTCAATGATTTTCTTTGCAGAGATAGCGCCTAAATGGGAACCGCTCTCCACATTTTGAGTCGACGTTGGTTTGCTGGGCCGGAGGACAACACCGTGCGAATAGAGGGATCTTTGCACTACAGAGCAAGACGAGGACCTTTACCTGAGCCTTGATTTTTAATTTTTTCTACTACTTATATTCTATTTATCAAGACATGAAGACTTACATTGAGATGGAAATTGAGGTCCATCTCAATGTAAGGCCCTCAATTTTTTTATTTGGATCCATTTTTACCCGTAGAACTCTTTATTGCAAAAGCATGACAACCGCTCTTCTGAAGCGTTTGCTTCGGATACATTTTACAGATGGGAGCATATAAAAATGCTCAAACAGTCCTCATTAGTGTTTAGCCTTTGGTTGGTGACCATGATCACATCAGTCAGTTACTATTCATTTCTCCTTCGAGTTGGCGTAAGGAGCTTGTATTGCTGGTCAGGGTTGATTTCGAGCCCAGCAAATGTCAAGTCCTCCGTACAAATGTGCACTTGCTACGTGAGGGTGATGTATGCCCTGACCTATGGACACAAGCCAAGGAATACGGACCAGACTCCGAATGGCGCTGTTGACAAGACTGTCAACAACTTTCGTGACACTGTGGGCAGAGCAGCTTCTGTGACCTGTCTTGAGTGTCACAGTAGTTTCTAAAGGGTTCGGTCCCCGCTTGAGTCAAGAATGTAGAAATTATTTGCGTGAGTTTCGATCGGGTTTTCGTACCCAGCAGAAATCTAATTAGCAAATGTAGTGATGAAAGTTGGGAGTTCTATGAGTCACTTTGTCAGGGTAGCTCTTATGTCTATATAAATAGGTATAACTGGGCAGTGCCATCTGCTCAGATGTAGTCTCACCTTCGCGCAGATATGGAAATGTTCGATGATTCCATGGATTAAGTGTGAAATATCATTTCCTATCCTTGAATTCTATGAGATAGAACTACAAGCTACTGAACTTTTCTATGTGGGCAACTTTCGGCAGTGTATAATAGGAATTCTTGTTTTGTACGCTATTTATTTGAACCAGAGCAATATTACTCTGTTGCCAGCTCTTTTCCGTTGGTATTTGAACACAATTGTTAGCCCTTTTTAATGACTTGTTTTCTTCTTTTCCTTTTTTGCATCACTCAAACGGTGATGGTATGTTGCCACTGTGTAGAGGATAAAAATTAAGTCGATTGGAATTAACCCGAGCGCGCATCTCAAAGTATGTACGTTCTTTACTTCAAGTTATATAAGGATTTTAGTCGGTACATTAAAACTTTAGGGTAACAGAAATATTGTAAAACTTGACAACATTTTTTAATATGAGTGCTGTGGTAACTGTCTTGAAATGGTGGTTGTAGAATGTGAGATCGTGAACACACGCTTCTACTTTCATCCAAAGACAGGAAAAAAACCAAGTTTGTCGAAGGTTCGTATTGACCATTGGCGATAGAACGAAATCGGTAGCCGGATTGGCCTTGTCGATGGGTTTGGCATTTGTTTCAGTGCCACCACTCGCTGATTGATTTCAGTAGACTTTCTGGATGTGACATGAAAGAACAACTCGAGAAACAGAGCTTTAATCGATAAGATCGCCAGTCTGTCGCGAACCCTTCGCGTAGGGAGTACCCTATGCGATAGCACTATTTCTAAAGCAGGATTAGAGAAGAGAAAGTTGTACCTGTATGAGACATCAGGGATCCAGGTAAGGAATGGTACTTTTGCAAAAATACTCCCGAGATGAATTGCTGAGGGAGTACGACCGAGAAGTGGTCAAATCCTGAAACGAATCTTTTTGATATTCAACCCATTGACCGACAGTCTTTCCTAAATATTATACATTTGGGAACCTTTGATGCACTTTTTTGTCAACGTGATTTTCACTTCTTTCGGTTCTCTAGAACTCCTTTGTTACTGATTCTAATGAGCTGACTAGCCACAATTCTTTTATTCCAGACAGGTTTCGAAGACAATTTCTAAAGGTAGAATTTCAGGCCATGAAATTGTCACCCTGCCTTTGATAAGTTTTGCCTCTCCCCATGATCAGCTTGTGGTTGACAAGCTGATCATGGGGAAACAATTGCTTCTGAAATATCATTACAGTGTTTTCATTTAGTAAATTAAGGATCAGCATACNAAGGTCCGTGGAGTATGCGTTTCACTTTTTCAAACATAACTTCCTCAAAACTCAAGCTTTCTGCTAGAAACTCAAACAGTAGAAAACTTAGGCAGTTATTAATATTATACTGCTGTAATGGCCCAGCAACACATTTCCAAGCAAAACTGGCGCTTTATTTTCAAGTCGCCCGCCAACACACATTTCCACCTTCTATAACTGGTGGGTTTTTATATCAAAAATTGCGGATGGTTCTTAATGTTTTGAGTCACGTCATGCACCTACTACGTTAATAAGGCTATGGCAAGGCTTTCCGGAATCCGTAACTTGCGGCAAGACCAAGTTGATGTCATAATTCGGAGCTTCCACGAAGGCTTAACATCAAAGCAAGTTTCGGAAATTCAAGGAGTGTCAATTAGATGTGTTCAAGGGATTTGGGGGAAATATAAGGATACAGGGTCGGTAGAAGTCAAAAAAGACCCAGGAGCAGCGAGAACGACGTCTCGTCTTGTCGACAAGAACATTGAGCGGGTAGCAAGGAATGATGCGCGTCTCACTGCAGCCGAGATTCTTCGCGAAATATCGACACCCGAAGGACCGACCCCATCTTTGAGCACTTTACAACGTCGTCTGAGGGAAGCCGGTTTGTTTGGACGACGTTCAGCAAAGAAACCACTGATTTTCGCCAAGAATCGCAAAGTCGACACTGGGCTCAACCCCACAAGAACTGGATCGTTCAGCATTGGCGTAAGGTCATCTGGAGCGATGAATCGAAGTTTTTGCTGTTCGAGACGGATAGAATCAAGTTTGTGCGACGTCCTGCCGGTACCAGATACCATCCGAATTACCAGCTGTTAAACGTGAGGGGTGGTGGAGGATCGGTTATATCCACGGTAGCTTCTGTGGCAGAGGAGTTGGTCTACCCTTCATCGGATTGAAGGTAAGATGGACGCGAAGATGTACCTTAATATCATGGAGACTGTTATCTGGCCGTTCGTTCGCAGTACTGCTCGCAGTGGCTTCGTTTTCTAACAGGACAACTACCCGAAACACAAATTGAAGCTGCTTACCAAATGGTTCCGCGACAATAACGTCGCTCTGCTGACGTGGCCGTCGTAGTCTCCCGATCTGAATCCCATCGAACATTTATGGGAAAGACTTGAGCATCAAGTAAAAGGTCTCAGAGCTCGAAATGAGCTCGAAAAGTACCTTCAGCTGAAGACAGCATGGGAGAACATCCCACAGGAGATCGACAAATTAATCGAGTTCATGCCACGCCGATGTCAAGCGGTCATTGACGCCAGAGGTTGTGCGACAAAGTATTAATGTCGTAGTTGTTACATTGGTATTATACAAATTGTTCCGTTGAGAAATTGGAAATCCAAACAGATCAAAGATTTTACAAGTATGATGGTGGCTACAAAATGATGTAAGCTCTTTTAAAATATTTCATAGTTCACTCAGACAGCTGAGAACTTGCTCGCTCATCACATTCGTTGATAGGCATTAACTATGAAAAAATCATATGAAAAGATGGACATTTGAAGAAGTTACTTTGAAAAAGTGAAAACGCATACTTCACTGACCGATACTGTAGTTTCTTGAATAGAAGTGGTTAAGAGTCGTGCTACGATATTTTTGCGTTCTTCAGACTACGAAACGATCACAAAGTGCCAACCGACGGGCAATAAGGAAGATGTGGATCATCCTACTGAGGCGGATACGACGATTCTGGGCGGAACATCTGGATTCGTGAATTATAAAGGCTGCTCTCACAGTCCGCCCATCGAATTTCGCCTTGTCTAGCAACTTGAAGTCGCCGAGAGAGACGAATGCTTTGCGGAACTGACTGGACGGGTGCAAAAGTTGAGCAGCTTAGTTTTTGAAAAAATCTGTTCAAAAAAGAGGGTTCGATAGCACACATTGCAAACTGCCGCATAAGCCTGGCAAGCTTCGGCTCTCTCCTCACAACCGGGTGATTGCACAGTTAGCGAGTTCAGGGTGCAACGAAAGTTTGGGTACAGCTATCCGTAGGATCGCAGTTTGATTATCGCTTTTCGCTGGGGGTCTTGAGGAGATTTCATGGACGGACTGAATTCGTAACCGTAGGTTCGAGTCGACATGCACAAGTCCAGCACGGCGAAGGCCTACTTCTCCGTTTGATTAGGGATACGGTCGAACAGATCGCCAAGGAGTCCAAACAATTTGGAAGGTCGAGGATAATCCATGGTTCAGGTTCGCAACTCACCGTGATAACGAATCAACTCAGGAAGGCCTTCGGCTAAAATCCAAGGGCAGTATGTCTTATATAGCTCGACAGATGAATATGCCGTACGAACCGTCATCGTGGAAAGGCTAAAACTGAGACCCTCATGTTGTGCGAAAGGAGCTACTCTCCCGTACATGAACAAGCAAGCACACCTGAAGAAATGTAAGGTGCAATTTTAGCTGTAAGCCACCGACAAGGATCCGCTAGTGGTTCGCCAAACTAGGAGGGAAAATCGAGAAGGGATTTCACTTGAAGACCATTTTTTAGGAGAAGCTGCTGTGTTGCGGAAACTCTCGCTTCAAAAATATTTCTTAGACATCAGCAAGTCATCGCACGACTCCACGGAGCCGAAATTGTTTCGCACTAGTGCTGGAACCACCCACCACCTTTCGTGGCTGCTGACAATTGGTTCAGGGACCTTGATCCCGTGGACTGCGCAGTATATGGTTATCTGAGCAGAAATCTCGTGCTGCTCTCCATTCCAGCCATTCCAAGGTGTAGTCACTGGAGAAGCCCTTCGTTGAGAAAGAGAGACTCGATGTTGACCAGCTTTTCAGTGATCGACTCGTTTCCGAAGTCAATAGGAGCCGTTGTCCGGGAGGTCGTACTGAAGCGTGAAGTTACCGTACTGCGCGAATCGCTTGGAGATTTTTATAGCCCTCCCACATTGTTTGTCACACTATGACAGGATAAGATCTCCAGAATGCTTTCTAAGAATTTCTTCGATGTTTAGATGGAAACTCGCCAATGGAAAGTGTTAGAGATCTTGCAAGGCTCGGGTATTTCAATGTGTGCTCATCGAACCCACATTTTCAGATGCTATTCTTTCTGTACTGCTTACAGAAATAGTTTCTTGGTTCCCTTCCTTCTGCTCCGAACGTCTCGAAGTATGAAGTTGTGGTTGAGCGATCGTTGAGCAAATCGGACTGCTGTACTGAGCACTCGCAGCATCGCCAACTATGCAGTATGAGGATGAATGGCTTCATTCGTTCTGTGAGCACTCTCTCACTGAGGGAATTCAGTCACAAAGTTCTACTGCAATTAATTTCTTTTTAGCGGTTACGCAGCTACATGCGTGAATCGGTACGCTGGACTCTACAAAGGAAATTTACTTGCTAAAAACTCTCGGCTCGGGGCGGCATGAGTTCATAGCATTAGCGGCGGGTCAACTTCGTTCGACGTTTGTCGTGAGGTGATCTGAACGGGGATCAGAAGTATGCAACGATTAGCGTCTTCTCGAATGTCCACTCAATGCACTCATTCAGGTTGATGTCGTCTTGACCGAAGCTAGCCCATTTTTTTGCAACAGGGCGCTTTGATATATTCCTAAGGCTGTGGATCCCGCTTGTTGTCTTTTCGCCCACATTACACGGATAGTGTAGGACGACGATTATGGGTCAACTTCGTTCGGCGTTCGTCGTGATATGATCCCAACGGGGATCAGAAGTATGTCATCACCAACATTTCCTTTGACGTGCACTTTTTCACTGTGCTCATTCAGGATGACACCATCCTTCTAATCGTGATCGGCCACTTTGTCTCGAATTCTTCAACGTGCTCGTGAAGCTGTGGATCTCGAACCAGAAGCTTTTTCTGCAATCAACAGAAATATATATAAAAGGATTACAACAGAATCGGCGGAACCGGGGCTGATTTGCCGCGAAATTATCTTGGTAAGGAGGCTCATAGTTCCTTACGAAATTTGATTGAAACCCGTGTATGACAAAGTTCCAGCAGAAGTCACAAGCATCTATTCTAGCCTTCATTTATCTTAAGACTTATCGGGTATTTTTAAGGTCTATCTGGAGAACTGTGCATCACTTCATTTGAATGTTTACATCACTGTCGAAAGTTCTACCTGAACTCCAAGCCGTCCCTATCCTTTGAATGCCGATCCAATGGGGATCAAGTGTAGGTATACCTATCATAATACCGCTCCAGACTCCTCCGTTGTCCATTTGCTTATGATAGCAGGTTCAGATAGGCCACGTCGTCGTCCAATATGACCCTCTGTCAGTCGCCCAGAAGCCAAGGTAAGGCCCTTCCTACTTACTTTTATCGGATTGAATGCCTTTTTGTTTTTTTTTTACTTATGGTTGTACTTCTCTTCGTCTGAATTAACCATCTGTATCTCTCTGCTTCCGCTCACATACTGTAATAGTTACTTTATAATGATCACCTCAGTTAACGTCTCCCTTTAATCTTCCTTTCTTTGCTTTCTTTTCCTACTTCATGTTAATTTGAACTTAAGCTTTTCTCGCTCTCTGGCTTCATTGTTCTTCTTATTCAAAATTCCTTACTATGGCAAAGTTGGTTCACTTGGCGTTCATTTTCGCATCTTTTTTGTTCTGTCTACCCCTTTGTCTTCTTTTACCGTATTATCTCTCCCTTGGAAATCTCTTTGGTGGTCGGCGTTCATCTGTGAATCGCAAAATTTCTGACAGCCGCCGCATATGTGCTTCCTGGACGAGTAAAATGCTGTTAGGTAATGGCTTAATGAAGTGAGAAGTCGGAGAACTTTTTGTCTTACTTTTATGCACGTCTCCTCCAAAAGATCCTGAAGGAACTCGTCCTATGCCTTTTCTGTGCATCAACTAGGAATTGTATTTTAAGGGGCGTTTCAAGAAACCGGTTCTTATAAAAGTACAACTATTAAATTGGGATTATCACCGAAGTTTGTGGTTCGGAGTGGCTTAGGGCTTGGGCTTCGACTAGCAGTTTTACGACTCCATAAGTATGTCTATAGTACTGTTCCGAGCAGTTACATTGACAATCACTCCTGCTTACAGGGTTAGAGGGCCATTCGAGCGAAGGAGCGGAGCATGCGGTAAATGGATGATGTTCTGGATTGTCTTTGCAATGTACACTTCGATAGAAGCGCTAGCCTACATTTTCATTTCATTCGGGTTTCCATTTAATTATCAACCCAAGATCGTTTTCGTCCAGTGGTTGCTGAGTCCATGGACAAAAGGCGCATCCATTTCATACCGAAAATGGATTCATCCTACGCTCCCCAAGCATGAGCGGGATGTGGATGCGTTGTTGGAGTGAGGAAAACTCGAAAGTTAAAACCAACTTGTACGGTTGGGCAGTCGCAGCCTGTGATGCGCTCGCGAATTCTAGCTGAAGAGCTGAAGCAGCTCAGCGTGGCCAGGCCTAACTATTTAGTAAATCAATTGTAGAGATTGTATCGTATTGTATAGTGCTGGTAATGTTGATCGAGAACGGTTAAACGAACCTCGGAAACGTATTCAAGTGGAAGGAGTTTAAGAAATCGACGATGGAGATAGCGAACACGACAGATTAGCTGGGCAACACCATCACTTAGGAGATGAGGAGCCCACACGACGTCGTAAGAATCGTTCACGATCACGATCACGTACCCTAGAAGGCGGAGAGAATAAATTTAATACGGTGCCACGGAAGAGTCAACGTCGGCTTATGTAACATCGAGATTTTCGCCTTTTTTCCCTGACGTCATGCTATTCCTTCCCACTTTTCACACTTCTGCTTCAGTCGAGTCGAAGGAGTCGGGCCTATCCATGTTGCAGCTTTCCATGAGATTTCTGTGTCGAACCACCTGAGAGTTACTTGACCTACTATGGTCGACTTCAGTTCCTTTCACAGTTGAACGTATTGAAATCTTACGCAATGTCGCTGTGCCGAAGGTTCTAGCACCGGCTAATCTGTGCGAACGGCTCTATTGGTTAGGTTCATTCTCACACAATCGTATCATTTTTCTCATATCCTGCCAAGTTTTTTTCTTAAGCTAGAGCCAAGTATAATTTTTCTTTCTTCCCGGATTTTTTCATGTGTCTAGCATCATTATACGCTTGAAATACTGAAGCATCGCTCGTCGTCTATGGTTCCCATTCTAGTCTAACCGAACGATTCGCTTCGCAAGTTGATTTTCATTGCTCGTATCGTATTCGTATTCTCTTCTTCACTTCCCCAGGGCTTCAGCTTTGGCTTGGTTTTCTATATTTGCATATACTTTTGACATGCAGTGCCTTCAGTGCCTGTCCAAACTCACCTCTTAGCTATTTCACGCGGTGTTTTATTTTCCATTTTTTACTCATAATTAGTTGTATTGTTTGCCGTACTTACCTGTGAACCCGATTTTCTTTCTATTTGTCATCTGTAAATTGTATCCCACTTGAAATGAATCGCATTGGTTTTGTTTTGCTCACTGCACAGTAAATAACCACGGTTCCTTGGGCACCATGATCAGCATTCTAGCCGCTCTGTGAAATCGATCACTCCAATTATTGATTAGTGGAATGTAGTGATTGCAAGTTCAATAAATAGAGTCGTTCCCCTGTTAGGCGGTGGGCATTCCTTTTGATTAGTTTATGCGTATGGCAATGATTACGATCATTTCAAACTATTTCGTCGAGGGTCTTTTGAAGTTGCAGTGATAAACAATAGTGTTTGTTGTTTTCTCAAAGCCCCTTGAGCATGCTACCAAAAATGACCTCGCCCTTCCGCGGGAGAGTCTTCATTGCTGAATACATACCTCTAGCTGACCACAGATTTGTCTTTATCAGTTTGGTATTTTTCACACATTCAGTGAACCGCTACCCAACGAAGGCAATGGTCGTAGTTCCTTCTCTGGTATCACCTGTGAAGCAGCAGTAAATATCGTTTGAGGCAGATGCTGGGCGGTTGTTCAACGGCGACAAGGGCTTGTGAAAGATCAACATAAGCGGGAGGTGTGCTTCTCGAACATGTTAACATGCATAGAACTCTGAAATAACTCGCCCACTTTTCCAGGTGATGCGGCGAAGCGACGGTTCAAAGCGCCGGACGAGGAACGACAACTTGATTTTTTGTATATTTTTTTGTTGTGTAGATTTTTTTGTAAAATTTTTTGTTGTGTACTGAGGTGACTGGTAGAGTTGGACGCTCTGA